TGTAACCTGTGTCCTGTGTGTGTAACCTGTGTCCTGTATGTATAACCTGTGTCCTGTATGTGTAACCTGTGTCCTGTATGTAGAACCTGTGTCCTATATGTGTAGCCTGTGTCCTGTATAACCTGTGTCCTGTATGTGTAACCTGTGTCCTGTGTGTGTAATCTGTGTCCTGTATGTAGAACCTGTGCCCTGTATGTGTAACCTGTACCAGACAAGACCACAGGGACACACTAAGGGTGCTCAGCTCACAGGCACTGACTCACACCTCATCTCTCTCATCCATACTGATTCTGTGCTTGTCTCACTTACAATGTTCAGGTCCATGTCCTTATGGAGGGACTAAGGGACTTAGTGGAGCCAGACATTAAACAGGGTGTTGTAGGAATATGTAGCTATGATTTTCATATTTCTCCAGAATCACATAGTGCCTACCTAACCTAAACAAGGGAACTATAATCTGGGAGATCTGGAATGTCCTCAGAACAGTCAGATTAAAGAGTGCTTGAAAGTCTGCAGGGGGTGGCTCATGATCCAGCCCCTCTCCTATGAGATCTGTCTATTGGGGTACAGAATGAGTATGAACTAAGACAAGGAGACCTCCACGATTCTGTGGGAATCCTAGGGGTGTGCATAGTGTTTAGGTTAGGTGTGGGAGTACTGGAGAAAGGGATCTCAGAGGCATCGAGGCTTGAGCTAAGTGTTAAACGGCATGCAGTTATTGATCATAAACACATAAAGCACATCACCAAGTGTCCAGTTTGTGGCATTAAATACAAATTAATTTGGAGTTTGGAGATGCAGCTCATGTTTATGGCCAATCAATGTGGAGGTAAGTCTAGAAGTGGGCTTTAGAACATGGTTGAGTAGGGCAGAGAGAAGGACCCTCGCAGGCTAATCCCATAAACCAGGCTTGGGAAGAGGAATTCACATGACATCGTAGACAAGGCTGAGGTAGGGATAGGAAGTTTCCCTGAGGAGCAGTGAGGGCGGGGACAGCATGTGGGCTGGAACATCAGGAGGGAGCAGGAGCAGGACCTGACCATCAAGGCATTCACGTTCTCTCCCATCCTGTTGACCTCAGGTATGTGAACTGTGCCCGGGATGAAGAGGAGCAGAACCTGGAGGCCTTTCAGTACCACAGGCAGATCTACTACCGCACCTGCCACACCATCCGCTCGGGCTGTGAGCTGCTCGTTTGGTATGGAGACGAGTATGGCCAGGAACTAGGCATCAAGCGGGGCAGCAGCTGGAAAAAGGAGCTCACTCCAGGGACAGGTGGGAGCCAGAAACCTTTCTTGCAAATGTTTGTGGCCAGTCAATAAGTTCATTGGGGTCCACCGAAACTTAGTGAGATTCAAATCAGGAGCTTCCGAAATTGAGGATTCATTCCATATGTCTTTTATTTTGGAACAACTTTAATAACTTTAAATTTTTTGTTCTGATTTTATGCCTTAATATTTCAGGCACAAAATATATTATAGCACATGAGTGCTAGCAGGAAAAACAATTCTCAGGCACAGGCCAGCTCCCACCAAGGACGTTCTTGTGGCCCATTTAGTTCTTCGTAATCTCCATATTTCTAATAATATTCATATGTTGTCATTTATTCATTCATTAGTTCAGTGAATTGTCATGTGAGTGCTGCTCTGTGCTATACAGAGTCTAGGAACTGGAAATACAGATTGATCAAGGCATCAGAATGACTGCTCTGGAGCAGGTGACATGATGGAAACACAGCGTCAAAATACAGACTATAGACCATGCATGTGTCACAGTAGACAGTGGGCATGCACACACATTTCACACCCTGATCAGGCCCACGTCACACCAGACAGTAAACGTATACATACCTCTATGTGCACACTGTGTCCCACTAGTGAACATACATACACGTGTCACAGCAGACTCTGGACATGCACACTTATGTGTCACACAGGACTGTGCTCAGTACTGCATAGATCTCAGTACACAGGAGGATAATGATGCAGAAGACTCGGGACTCCACCCAAAGTCTTCACGAGAAGGTACACTGAGACATACAAATGCCAGTGGGCAGAGGACTTGGTGAAGGAGCAACGTGTGCAGCTAGCCAAGGCAGGAAAGAACCAGGGTGTTTGAAGAACAGCCAGCAGACCCCAAGAGAGCAGATGGGGTCAAAGTTGAGGTCAGAGAGACAGAGAAGTAGGGCCTGATATTCACACCACAAAAGTGGGTTTGTCTTGAGTGTGATAAAAGCCACTGGGGATGATGTCATGTTCCCTGTGCTGAGGTGAGGCTTTGGTTAGTCTTTGGAATCAAGATGTGGTTGGGTATCCACTTGGAGGCTACTTCAGTGCCAAGGTGAGAGGGTGGTGGACAAAGGTGGGAGTTGTCTGAATGAGATATCATTTGAAACAGAACTTTTTATGGTATTCCAGCTAGAGGAAGGCTGATTGAAGTAACTTGGGTATGAACAGGAAGGACACGGCCTTTCACTTTGTAATTTCTGGAGAACAGGAGAGATATGAATCAGCAGGACCCCGTGTCCTGTAGTCAGTGGGCCTCAGCCAACCCTGTCTTGTCGACCTCTGAGTCTCACTTCCTGAGACAACCAGGCAATATCTTCATCCACACACTCTCTAATCATTGCTCCACACTGCCTTTCCATGTGGAATCTCCTGGGTTGAGGTCCAGTGATTCAGTGGGCCCCTCCCCCTCACAGGAAAGGCCACTAGGGAGGTTCCCACCTAAGTCATCATGAGCATCATCCTCAGGAGAAAGAAATAGCCACTGACTCCATAGTCATAAGGTTTTCAGTGGCTAAAACATTCAGAAATAGTCCACTTCTCCTTCCTCCTACTCTGTCTTAGTCTGGAAGCTCAGCTAAAACTTGTCCATTATAGGTGTACCCTGCTGAGATCATAGCAACACACAAGTCACCACAGTACGACAAAGTGGTGGTGTTGGTGGTGATGTGCCATGGAGTCTGTTCTGACTCATAGAGACTCTGTACAGGGTCCATTATAGGTATACCCTGCTGGGATCATACCAACACGCAAGTCACCACAGTATGACAAAGGGGTAGTGTTGGTGGTGATGTGCCGTGGAGTCTGTTCCGACTCACAGAGACCCTGTACAGGGTCCATTATAGGTGTACCCTGCTGGGATCATAGCAACACGCAAGTCACCACAGTAAGACAAAGTGTTGGTGTTGGTGGTGATGTGCCATGGAGTCTGTTCTGACTCAGAGAGACTCTGTACAGGGTCCATTATAGGTGTACCCTGCTGGGATCATAGCAACATGCAAGTCGCCACAGTATGACAAAGTGGTGGTGTTGGTGGTGATGTGCAGTGGAGTCTGTTCTGACTCATAGAGACCCTGTACAGACAGGGTTTCAGAGGCTGGTTCTCTTTATAGGAGCAGAAAGTCTCACCTTTTCCATGGAATGGCTGTTAGTTTTGAATTGCTGACCTTGAGGTTAGCAGTCTGACTCATAACCACTGCACAGTTTGAAACTACCAGCCGTCCCATGAGAGAAACATGAGGCTTTCTGCTCCTGTAAAGATCTACAGCCTCAGAAACCCTATACAGGGTCACTATGATTCGGAACCGACTCCACGGCACATCACCACCAACACCGACATAGTGACAGGGCTTAGAAGATGCCTATGGAAGGTGGGAAAGGCCACTGCAGTTTTAGCTAGGTCAACAGTGAGGATCCCTCCAGTTACTACTAGAAGGTCCCTATTATGGCCGCATTGTTGAGAAGACCCTTGATGTGGGTTTCCAGATTGCTGCAATGAATAAAAATGGAGTGAAATTTAGGCCTATAAAGGAGGACTCATGTGGACACAGATCCTGTGTTGTAGACATATTATGAATGATTTGGGGAGATCTCCACAAGACAACGCAGACAGCTTGGTAACCATATCTACATCAACTGACTAAAAACTTTCTCTTCCAGGAGAAGCAAAGCCAGAGATTCATCCATGTCCCTCCTGCCCTATGGCCTTCTCCAGTCAGAAATTCCTCAGTCAACACATGAAGTACAAACACCCCTCTCAATCTGCCCCTGGAACAGCTGTGGGAAAACACCTCCAACCAGAGGACCCCCATCCAGGGGATGGGAAGCAATGGCATTCTGAACAACACACTTGGAATGACAGAGCAGAAGTTGTAGAGACAGGAGATGAGCCCAAACCCATGTTTGAAAGTACAAGGCAGGAGGGGATTTCAAAGGCCTTTTCCGAACTATCCAAAGGACAAACGGGGAGTTCTAGGGTGGCTAAGACAATGATGGAGACAGAGCCCAGTCTAGGCCAGAAAGTGAATGCTGAGGACGCAAGCAAATTATTCCTGGGGATAAGAATCTCAGGAATTGCAAAAGTCAAGTGTAGGGAGTGTGGGAGAGGCTTTAGTCATAAGTCAGTCCTCATCAAACACCAGAGGACACACTCAGGGGAGAAGCCCTATGTCTGTGGGGAGTGTGGGCGAGGCTTTAGTCAGAAGTCAGATCTCATCAGACACCAAAGGACACACTCAGGGGAGAAGCCCTATGTCTGCAGGGAGTGTGGGCGAGGCTTTAGTGAGAACTCTGTCCTCATCAAACACCAGAGGACACACTCAGGGGAGAAGCCCTATGTCTG